GGTTTCGCCAGTTCTCATTGAACAGGATTGATCATTATTGGGGTTTTCCTCCTCAATAGTTATATGTACAATTAGGTTTTCTACATTGCTTATACTATTTCCACCATGATTATTTACAACCCTTTCAGTGGAATAAGCGTTTCTATATTTTTCTTTGGAATTGTCGAAACCTAGTGGTTTTCTTATAAACGTGAAATTATCTATTTTCAATCGGGTTCTTGGCTTTAAATATTTCCGTACCTCAGGTTTCGATCGTAGCCTCGTAGTATCTGGTGTATAGTAGTATACACCAATTACATTTCATCGGTCCTATACACCACCTTTTTTTTCCAGCCAAAATCAAATGGCCTATTGAACTTTGGATCCATTGGCCTTTTGGACTTGAGATCCATTAAAATTGTTTTACAGACAAAACCACGGTGATTCTTAGGCGTAGACGATAAGATTAATTCTTCAAATACAAAACGATAGTTCGACATCCTGACATTGTCGCTTGATGAAGAAAGGCGGTAAACCGATGACGACTTCCAGTACGTTAGTATAATGTCGAGATGAAAGGAGAAGTCTCCCATGAGAAAGAAAGGGGAAAATAGTGGAGTGGTATTGTCCGGTTTTCGTTATCATGTTTTATTATTATATAATATATTTAACTGTAATACTTACTATTTGTATTAATCTAAATTGATTTGTAAACTAATACATTGAAGTGGAGTCCACTATAATAAAATGTAGTGTAGATATTATTAATATTTTACAATATTATGTTGAGATGTATACCGTTTTGTATATATCATTACATACGGAAACCTCTCGCCGGTTTTTTTTTTTCACGACACCACGGATCTTTCCCAACGCACTTCTCGACGAGCCCGCGCATGATTTTCATCAAGACTTGCGTCCTGTGCTAATGAAGTTCAATGCGATGTAATGCGCGCGTAATAACGCGCGCAGTACGCACCGCGTCTTTCGGGCCGAAAACGACCCGCGGTAAAATAATAATAGGACAATAACAATGAACGGCCGCGGGTGTATTATTTTACCGCCGTTTTTACCTATTCGTTTCTCCTCTTGGTAAAACTCTTCCATGTATAGAATTCTCCTTTCAGATATTCTATTGTCATATTAGCGGAAAGATTGATTTCCCTACTCTCCTATTTCTCATCAACTTTAATGTCCCATCTCGATCCACTCTCTCTCATTCCACATTCCACTCGAGTCTACAAATTTCCTCGAGAATTGCTCTATCAAGCGTTTAATGCGCACCGCAAATAACCACCTCTTCTTTGTTTGAAAACTAAAACTATACAAAATTATGATATATATGTTTTCTTAATTCATTTTTCCTTTATTATATTGTTTTTGGTTATTTTTCTTTTTTTATTTGTTTGTTCATCTGGTCACCTGATTATAAGTTAAATCAATATTCATCATTTGTAATTGGACCTAGGTGTATGTAATATATAATAAATAAATTATTTTTATCAAACACCGTTGTATATTATCTATCGTTGTGGAATTTCGGATTTTCCATTATATACGAGTACAATTTAAAAAAAAAAAAAAAAAAAAAAAAAAAAAACCTTTTCCACGGCGAAATTAAATTTTTCGGGTAAATATACTGCTGGACTACTGTCGTAGTATTACGGCGGATCCAAATGCACTATGCATACATATTCGAGTTATTTACAACGCAGCAATACAATGACAGCGAATTACTGCTAAATACTGCGGCGCGATTACGTTTTTTACAGCGTCCCGGGGTGTCGCTCCGGAAAAAAACAAACAAACAGATTACGCGCGCCATTATTGACGACGACGCGATTTTAATATACATTTTATCGCGAACCCGCCCCTCGGAGCTCTCCCGCCGACCCCCCCACAACCACAATGTCAATATCACCGTGCGCATACGCTGCCCCTCCGGAGCTCGCGTCAGCGTCAGTTTATTGACATTATTTACGCTCGAGCGTACACAGCGGATGGCGGGGGGGGGCCCGGATGGGAGGGTGAGTCTCTGCCTCGCATCGTCGTTTTCGCGATCGGCCGACGTAAAATAATACGTCCGCGGCGGTTTATTGTTATTGGAGTTATTATTATTTTTTATACGCATTGTACTTCATTAGCACAGGTCGCAAATCCTGACGAAAAGCATGCGCAGGATCATCGAGAAGTGCGTTAAGAATAAGCCGCAGTGGCGTGAAAACAAAAACCGGCAAAATAATTCGGTATGTAATGATATAAACAATATGGTAAGTATCATAATATAATATTATAAAATATTAATAATGTCAACACTAAATTTTATTATAATGGACACAACTTCAATTTATTAGTTTATAAATCAATTTAGATTAATACAAATAGTATGTATTATAGTTAAATATCTTATATAATAATAAAACATGATAATGAGAATCGGACACCACTCCACTATTTTCCCCTTTTCATCTCAAAAGAGACTTCTCCTTTCATTTCGACACTATTCTATCGCACTGGAAGTCGTCATCGGTTTACCGCCCGTCTTCATCAAGCGAAAATCTCGGGAGGTCGAACGATCGTTTTATATTTGAAGAACTAACATTATCATCTACTCCTACGAATCACCGTACATTTGGCTGTAAAACAACTTAAATGGATCCAAAGTCCAAAATGCCAATGGATCCAATTTTCAACAGGCCGTTTGAATATGGTTGGAAAAGAGAGGTGGTATATAGGACCAATGGAAATGCAATTGATATATATTACCGTACACCAGATAAAAAGAAACTAAGATCGAAACCGGAAGTACGTGAATATTTAAAGCAAAGAACGCGATTGAAAATAGAGAATTTCACGTTTAAAAGAAAAGCCCTAGGTTTAGACAATTCCAAGGAAATATGCAGAAACGCTTATTCAACTGAAAGAGCTGAAAATAATCGTGGTGGAAACGGTATAAATAATGAAAATTATTTTTAGAAAACCGAATTGTACAGTTAACTATTGAAGAGAAAAGCCCAATAATGACCGATCCTCTTCTACGAGTACTGGCAAAACTGTAGAATCAGATAAAGGTAGATTGACTGAAACAAATATGCGTTTAGATATTAACGGTCGGCGATTTCAGTTTAAAAAGAGATCAAATAAAGAAAGCCAAGCTAAACTAGCCTTTATTAATGATATAATATATGGTAAGAATTTCCCTACACAGTTTTATTGAGATAATAAAACTGTCAAATGATGGGGCAAAAGAAGATCTACCAATTGCTAAATCGCTTCATAAAGAATTACATTATTTAGACGATGAAAAATATACAAATGAAGCAAATGAACTTAACAATA